TCAGAGTTCCTTTCACTGGAACTAAGGGGCCAAGCCCAGCTCCTGAAAAACAACCCCACACCATAATCCCCCCTCCACCAAACTTTACACTTGGCACAATGCAGTCAGACAAGTACCGTTCTCCTGGCAACCGCCAAACCCAGACCCGTCCATCAGATTGCCAGATGGAGAAGCGCGATTCGTCACTCCAGAGAACGCGTCTCCACTGCTCTAGAGTCCAGTGGCGGCGTGCTTTACACCACCGCATCCGACGCTTTGCATTGCACTTGGTGATGTATGGCTTGGATGCAGCTGCTCGCCCATGGAAACCCATTCCATGAAGCTCTCTGCGCACTGTTCTTGAGCTACATGAAGTTTGGAGGTCTGTAGTGATTGACTCTGCAGAAAGTTGGCGACCTCTTCGCACTATGCGCGTCAGCATCCGCTGACCCCGCTCCGTCAGTTTACGTGGCCTACCACTTCGTGGCTGAGTTGCTGTCGTTCCCAAACACTTCCATTTTCTTATAATACAGCTGACAGTTGACTGTGGAATATTTAGGAGCGAGGAAATTTCACGACTGGATTTGTTGCACAGGTGGCATCCTATCACAGTTCCACGCTGGAATTCACTGAGCTCCTGAGAGCGACCCATTCTTTCACAAATGTTTGTAAAAACAGTCTGCATGCCTAGGTGCTTGAATTTATACACCTGTGGCCATGGAAGTGATTGGAACACCTGATTCCAATAATTTGGATGGGTGAGCAAATACTTTTGGCAATATAGTGTATGTAGGGTGGTCACTGGAGGTTCAACTGAGTTTGTCAGCCTGCAATCAATATGCAAAATGGATTTGCTACATTGTCAAGGGTAAGCTCTTCCTTTATATGATGAGAGCTGAAGAGCAGAAAGAGAGCAAAGTACAAAGAAATAATAGATGAAGTGCACAATGTAATTATTCAATAGGTAACCCATAACAGCAGATTTTGGTTTTAAAGCGCATGGTACTCAGCTCACAGGGATCTGTTGTCACAGTCTTGGTTTTGTTATGTTTTCTTTTGAGTATTTAGTTTTACTTTGCCCCATGTTTTTCTAGTTTTATTGGTTTAATTATCATTTTTTTGTGTTTTCTGGTTATTTTTCAGTTTTCAAGTTTTTATTTGTTGCCCTCTGCTGCCCTCTGGTGTTCTCCTTTTTCCCTAGCTCCTTTCCAGTCTGCTATGTTCACACCTGCTCCCAATCTGCTCGTTAGTCCTTTCTTTGTTCAGTCTCTCATAAATACACTCCTTGTGCAGTTCCTCAGTGCTGGTTCCTCATCTAACTTCCTCCAATGCCGTCTCATTGTGTCTTCCTTGTCGTGATTGTTTTCCCCTAATGTCTCCATGGTTTCTGGTTTGTTTGACTATTTTCATATTTGGTTTTTGGATATTTGGATTCCTGCCTCAGCTGTCTGTTTACCTTTAATTCAATCAAAAAGAAACTCACCTCTGCCTCCCTGACTCTGCATTTGGGTCCTCAGACCACAACCAAACTCTGACATCTTGTAGGAAAAACTGTAACTGTACTCATTTAGATTTATTCACAGACTGCTTCATCAGTATATACAATTATTGGAGAAAACATATGAAATGCAAGACACAAGAACTTTAACCACCACCTTCAAAAGCTGGTGATAAGCAGTTTTAAATAAAGAAATTGTTTCCTGTTACAAATTTCAGATTATTCTGATGCAGTAAACATTCCCTCACCGTTAACTGCGTACTTCTATCAAACACAAATGTGCTCAGGCATTTACAAGCTTTTACATAGAAAATCATGATTATGATTAGCCATTGTATCTCACATCTCCATATTTTACAACTGAAATGATGTAGTTTCAACTAGCCACACATCAAAGACCTTTCTCGCACCCACCAACATGTAGTGTCAGTTACGTTCAATCTTGGTCCTCCTTTAAGGCCTTTTTGGGCATCTTGAAACAGTCATTCCATTTTATATTATTCTCTGCCAGCACCGTGTGATATGTAATCTTAAAAGACTATTCAATTACACACTATGGGACATGAAATCAATAATCTTTAGTACGGCATCAAGTTTGATAAGTCCACATTTTACTTCTAAAAAGCATAGAATTGTAAGTAACGTTAGCAGTGTGTGCTATCCATTACTGTTGCAAGAGACATTGTAACAAATCTGAAAAAGGGAGAATGAGAAAGAGAATTCGGATGCAGTTCTTGCAGGAAAGAGACGAATTTAAGACAGGTGAAGATATGTTATAAGATCTTACCATTTTAGGGGGTATACAGTAACCTGCAAGATTACATTCACAAGCTGGATGTATCTAATATAAAGAAAGTAAATAAGCTGTTCAGCTTCATGATCTATTGTCACAGCCCTCAATGACGTAAGTTAAACAAAACTGTCTCAAATAGATTAAATAGTTTTATTTGGGGGAATAAGTTTAATCAAACATCACCATCCCTTGAAAAAAAGTTAAACAAAATGTTATCAAATCTTGAATTAAAGTGTGCTTCAGATGCATAAATAAATAATCCAGCAATAAAAAACTATTATTAGGGTCATAGTATGAAGAAGACTTTCTGCATGATCTTCCTAAAGCCCTCGTCTTTTATCTTTGACAGCCAAAAGCTGTGTGTAAAGCTGTAGGGATTATGTCTTTTTGAACAGTAATTGTATTTCACTTACTGCAACTTTGAATAAATTTGTTTTAACCTTCCCTTTGAAAAACTTAATGAAGATAGGTTTAAATATTTACCCTTTAAAGTAGTGTTAAATATTACCCTGGCACAACTTTTAAACTACCGCTGATTCCAGCCAAGTCTGGCCGGACCAATCAGAACATGGGAGACATTATTTTATGATACGTCACTCAGAGTACCTTTCTATTTTTCTGATAGCAAAACAGTGAGATGGCAACTGGAACGGAGAAATGTTTTAATGATGCCCTTTCTGATGTCGTAAGTGAGACCCAACTTTAAAACCCCAACAATGGACAGCTCTTGTGTCATTTCTTTTTTTAAAAGGATGCATTTTGGCATGACGTGTTTCAGTGACAACAAAAGGACAAAGTACAGTGTGTTGCATTTAGTTTTTGCATCATGTCCATTCTAACCTGATAATGCTGACCCAGTTAGTGTGGTCTTTGAAATCGAGCTCTACCAGCTCTTCCCCAGACTGACACATCTAGTATATGTCAGATTAGTCTGGCTTTCAGGCAAGTCAACTATATGTAAGATAGTGACTTAAATTGCCAAACTGAATATTTTTGTAAGATTCAAAGCTATACAGATAAAATGTCCTCATGTTTTGACAATCATGTCTTTTTTGCACCTGTTTTGGAGTGTTGTCGAACATGTTTTTAAACTTATACAATAAGACAGAGTTAAGATTACGAACATAAATAGACAAAAATCATACAGCAGGGGTCCATTTCATGAAGCAGGTTTAAGTTGCCTAAACCTGAAAACATGAAAACTCTGACTTTTCGGTTTAACAAAGAGAGTTCCCTTAACCTGTTTCACCGTAGTAACATTGTCCTCAGAGCTAACCTGGTTTGTAGCAGGTTTTCTTTAGTAAACTCTGAGTCTCCTGTCTCCGCTTTCCCTATAGTCAATCATGCTCTTTTATTTCTTGATTTAGTCAGATTTTTGTCATACTTTCTTTGTCTAAATGATCATTTCAAACAAAAGGACATTCTCTACAGAGAATAAACATTATGGATGTCTATAGATAAATTTCAGATCTCCATATTTATAATATCACTGGTCAGCATTTGTCATTTCAAATAGGATTTTTTTTTTTTCAGATCTCATAAATACATTTTCAGTCAAGCTGATAAATGTCAGAACGGCCTATTTAAATGTTGAAACATTTCTTAATATATAAAACTTAATTCTTACAAGTATATATATACATTTTTTTTTAACTTTCTAAAATTCAGTTTCTGCCACAAGAATGTGATTTGGAAAATAAAGTATCACAGTTAGGTGTAGGAGTGTGATTTGTATCAGGAAGAATATGATTTTAGTGATTCTCAAATGGAATGAAGGAGTGCTTTTAATAAATGTAAAAATGAGCTGTCATAGCCCACTTCATATAAACTTGAGCATTTAATAAAGCAACAATCTTCTCTTTCGCCATCTGCCTCTGCTTTATAGCTGTAATGTTGTTTCTCCATCTTTTAAACATATTCTCTTTTTTATTTTAATTTTTTTTGCATTTCTGCATTAAAATCTCTAGTTCCAGTGGTGTGAATTAGGCACTTCCTGTTGCTTGTTATCATGGTGACTCGTGGAATTGGTGCTCCACTGATAACAGCTTTTCATACTTGTTGCGCATGCGCTTAACTCTGAGAAGACCTAGTTAAAATTGATTGAACTAATAGATAGCAGCCGTTGTGAAACTAACACTCAAGAGATCCCGACTTTAGGCTGAATTTGTTAAATCTGCTTTGTGAAACAGACCCCAGCACACAAAAGGATCTGTTTTGTAGCTTAGTAACAGTATTTTGTTAAATATTTATAACAGTAAAGATTTCACAAATATTTAGTATAGAGAAAATTCAGACTACAGTTTAAAGTATTAAATGACCTTATTAGGAAAGGGACAAAGGGATTTCAGAGAACCTCACTTGACTCATTTGTGCAGTGCTCAATACACTATAAGAAGGACACAATGATTTCCTAGTGTCTAATTGGAAATGATAATTCATCATATGGATTATTACAGCCAATTAACACTACTGTACTTCTGCAGCCCACTTGATCATTTTATTCACTGCATTAATGCAGAAATGTTAAGAGTTTTATACCCCATAGGGCAGCTACAAATTAAATAATAGTCACTCTTTTGTTACATACAACAGTCATAAGCCTCATGTAATGAGTTAGTAGAGAGTTGAGGTCAGTTATAGGACAGGCAAAGCTTTGCCAGTGTTTTAGTGTCACCAACACATGAGAAAGTTCCACCTAAAGGTGGGGGGTTCTGGAATGGATCTGCCCACCTTGGTAGTCACTGTGAGGAGGGGCTTCGCTTCTGATGACGCCTTACTGGGTATCTCCTTCAGGACCATGGCAACAGTCTTATCTGCAGCCCTAGAGTCTTTCCCCTACAACAGTGAAATCAACAACGACTTTTGTCAGGACAGTTAGACAACTCATAGCTTTTTGCTCCCATCCAGGGAGCCTAACATTATTAAAACTTTATAATGTGTGTAGGGCTATCTAACAATAAAAACATTAACATTTCCACATCACTATGGCGATGAGAAGCATCACTGCACAATGTAGACGTTTGACAGCATACACAGATGAGTATGGTTGTCCAAAGCAATACTTTTCACACTATAAGATGGGAAAGTATTATACAGCTTGTGACCTCAATAAATACAAAACTAAAAGATGTATGAAATAGTAATCGCCAAATCGTAAATCATCCTGATTTTGCCTTACACTGCGATGTTGTCCCAAATTGTTCCCAAAGTTATTTTTTAAGCCTATCTGTTAAAGCATTATGTATCTAGGTAGTTGAGTGGTAGTTAAAAACGGTCATAAATGTTCATGACATGATGTATATTACATTTTAAAGGTAATCTAAAGCTTTTTGTTGGGAAGATTATATCTCAAATGGTTTTTATTCACAGTTGGTTCTTATTCCTGTTCAGGCTAACTTACTGGAAGTTTTCTGATTTTAATTTGCTATAAGATATTATTAGTTTAATTCATAACAATAGAACCCCATGTCTTTACAGCAGACAAAAAATCATATCAAAGTACATGAAAAAAATAACAGCATATGTTTTGCTTCTCTCATTTTGTTTGTGTTACCTAAGTGCCTACAAAAGTGCCTTTTAATTTTTGCTTAATTTAAGGTTGAGCTTATTTCTAATACTGCCCTGCTTCCCACAGCCTCTCAGAGAGAGAGAGCTCCCTTGGAATTTGTCTGCTAATTCTTAAAACTACTTTACATAACAGTAAAAACTGATTATCGGAGAGGTCAAACAGATTTTTCAATCTATTGTCATGCTTTCCATCTTCATTTCATGGTTAAAGGGCACCCTTGGTTTTCACAGACATCTCTCATTTACAGAACATGCTTCTGCAACGAGACAAATTAAGCAGTGTTAATTACAAGGAGGAGGCGGAACCATTGCCTCACAATTATTATTTTGAATCAATTGTTGTCTGAGAACAGTGAATAAATGCAATGTAAACAGAATGGTAAAAAAAGACGTAGATATTTTCTCATTTTGACTCTCAGATCAGAGCATAGGACCTACTAGTCAATCAGTAAATCGTGTTTCTACCTTTGAACAAAATGTGGTTCTTTGTCTTTTAATTTTCTCAATTGATTATAATACAACCTACTTCGGCTGAGTCCAAAGGGTGACTTAAAGCCTCTTAATCATTGAAGTTAGCCGCTTATGGGTCAACCAGCTAACAATTGGCATTTGGCTCCCTTTGCATTGGCCAAAAATGCTAGTTCTGACCCCCCACTGGCAAGCTGGGTGGCCTCTGTCCTCCCACTGCCTCATGTCTGGTGAAACAATCGCACTGGGTTAGCATTGATGATGCCACCAGTGCAACACAAAATCAGGAAAGTAAACAATAGAGAGCAACATGAAAGGAAGTCAAGGCATAGTAAGTGTGCTGTACTGTTTTGCTCTTTTATCTGTCCGAATCCCTCTTACCAGTGCTGTGCCATGTTTATCAAATGCTAACTGAGTTGTATCGGCTTGTTAGATCAGTTGCGACTAGCACTGGGCAAGGTTAGTATGTTGTGCTCAATGTTATCATGTAAATTAGCGGGTGGACCCGGGTCTGGTGTTCCCACAGCATACCGGTCAGAGCCAAGGCAATTTTAACACCCATCATTTGCCGAGCTAATTGACCTTGGTAGACACAGGTCAGGGAGCTGTTCCCACTGACACTAAAAACCATTTCTTCCAGGGTTTAAACAGGTTTTTCGTCCAGGGGGAAAGGGAATATAATAGTCTAGGTAAAGCACCTACTCACTCTCTCATGGGCTTGAAGTTAGTACAAATTAACAACAAGGGTCACTAAGATGCAGTCAGAAGCAAATCAGTACTCGTCCTAACAAAGATTTAGGCAAGAGATTCAAAAAATGTATTTCTTGTGGTTTGGTCTAAAATGTAAATGATGCAGTATTTGATTCATCATATGTTTTGTACTGTCATATGTTCAAGTCTTGTTATGTGATGCTGCTTAGGCTCTGTCTGTCTGAACTAAATTCTGTCTCTGTGATATCTATAAATTACTCTAGCTGTCCAGAAGCACTTTTAAACAAAGCTTTTACTGCCGTACTTTTTTACTGGGCACTTAACGCTACACATGTTATTTTTAGTTCTGGTGCTAAGGGGTAGCTAGCCTAGGCTAGAGCTAGCTTAGCACTGCTATGGCCTCCATCTCCTCTCTCTAAATCTCCTTCTCCTTTCTCCTGCTCTATGTGTCAGATGTTCAGTAATTCCTCTGCCTCCTTTAGTGATAATGATATGTGTAATAAGTGTAGTATTTGGGTCAAGATGATTTTGTTCAATTATAGACCTATATCAAATGTTCCATCCCACATCAAATGTTCCATCCCACACCCACATTATGACCTATCCATTTTGGGTCCAGGGCAAAGTTTAGAAAGTTTAGTCATGGGGTCATCCCCCAAGTCTTTCTTTATGTCTCATTTGGCCCTGAATATAATGGATTCCTTAGAGCTAGCACGGTCTGCAGAGAGCTGTCAATCAATGGACATGCTCCCCGATGTTCTTAATATGAAATTGGTGATGAGTCTGAATCAGTAACACAGCATAGCCGCGAGGACTTTCAGCTCCTTCAAGGTGGGAATGAAGAAGGTAAAGTATCCCTCTATCTATGTCATGATCTTGGCGCAGATGACTGGTCTGATTACTCATTTCATTAACCTGCTTATCTCCTCCCAATTCTCATTGGCATTCATTTGAGCCACCTGTTTCACCCTCCATTTAACCAGTCTTCAAATCAGTCATCAGTGCCAGATTATTCAAACCAGTTGTGACATTTATTCTATTATGGATTATCCTGCCTTGCTTCGTCTACTCACTTCTGATTTCCTGCCTGTTCTCTGACCTCTGGGACATCACCAACTTAGTGACTCAGACATTCGTTGTTATCCTCCGACAGATAGACGTAGTCCCTAACCTGCTGTATCCTCCTACAGAGGTTCTTGCCTTAGCAACTCTGTTTGCAGTTCGGTTTTCAATAAACATTTTGATAAATCAAACTGTCAACTGCCTGCCTCAAATACTGGGTCCTACTGTTCTAAGTGTGACTATCTACCCTTTTTCGGAGAATATATATATTGTACCTTTATTATTTTGATAAGGATAAATTACTTATAATTCTACCACTTCTTTCACATCTATACTTTGCTGAAAAATATAAATCAGACAAAAAAGGTTTACAGCAATTTCACTTATTGCATTGTTTTTCGAGTAGGTGAGGGATGATTTCATTGCAAAAATATTTTGCTTAAGGAGATAATAAAGCTTTTGGGGGAGTGGCAACCCAGTGGTTTAGGGCATTGTGCTTGGGCTCCAGAGGTTCTGAGTTCAAGCCCCATTCTCAAGGACTGCCACTCTGGGTCCCTGAGCAAAGACCTTTAATCCCGCACTGCTCCCCGGGCACCACACAATTAAAGCCCACTGATCCCCAAAGGGGATGGGTTAAATGCAGAAAACGACTAGAGAAACAAGTTAATGTCGTTGCTCTGTACTTGTAATGAAAATAAATGCTGAAAAATAAAAACTTGAATTTCTACCCATTACTATTAAAAAAATGGTATCTCTGAAACTGATATGAAGTTTGTTTTCCTAAGTCCTAGACTAATTGTAAGACCCTAAAAGCATATTTCTTTATTTTAATTATGATGAGAGCTTTCCAATCCTGATTAACATTGATAATATGAATATTTTCCCTCTTCTTCTAAATTTTCTGTTTTACTGTCACCTTTCCAGTATTACATTCCTCTTTTGTTACATCTTGGATTAATTGCTATAACATGTTTATTGAAAAATAATACACCTTTGATTAGCCAGAGCGGAATGTATAAAATCAGCACAGAAAATATGGAAGGTAGAAGAAGGACTCCATTACAACTATTGCTACATCTACTGGCACTAGTAGAAAAGTTAATTTCCCTTTTTATTGAGCAATTTGTTGTCAGCTTACTCTTGACTGCATGTATGATCTAAAGGACCTTCTACTGTGTTAGGCTACTTCAGGAATAGATACTTTGAATTTCACTTAACTGACTGCCAGGTAGCATTTTAAGTATGGATATTTCATGGGATTCTCAGGCTTTTTTATTAAATTCACTGTCTACATGGAGGAAGAGGAAAGCAAAGCAGTGAGGCGCTGCAAGGAAAATTAATACTTTCCTCTGCTTTAGCTGTGGATGACAGCTGAGTAAAAGTCCGAGAAAGGCACATCATCTTAGTGGACAGCAACATCAAGTTTTCTAGGGAGCATCCCAAAGATAACAAACTACCTTTTGGGAATGGTTTTACTACATATAGAAAGAAAAACACTGTAGTCTAAAGAAATCCCCAAACTAGTACATAGAGTTTGAATCTCCACACCTAATGAGACATAAACAAAGAACTAAATGAACCCTGCAGCAATCAGCTGAACAGGTCTCTACAAGTACATAAGGAAAGGACAAGGGACACATAAAAGCCACTTCAAACTTTATCCAAACCGGCCTGGTGTTTAGAAGAAAAGAACCATTTGTACAAAGAACTTTATTCTTAATTTGTTTACAAGTGATTTAGGAGAAAATGTCGCATTCATGTCAATGTAGGGCGAAGGTTGGTTGAGGGCCCAAATCCAGACAGGAGGAGGCAGAGAGGAGTTTTTGCTGATTTAATGGCAAACAGAAACAAAATCCAAGAACAGAATGCAGAAAACCAAAAATCAGGAGACGTCTGGGCAAAACACACGAGGAACCAAATGTTGAAGAGAAACCTGTAAAGAGTAACTGAACAGGAGATGTTTACATGGGAGACAAAAGCAATGGGAGGACTAATTAAAAGATGTAGACAGAAGGAAACAGAAAAGG